CATTGATACAGACAGCCAATTGTAGGCCCTTAGAGCAGACATATAAACAGAGCATAATATAACTAGTTTCAAGGACTATGCTTTAAAAGTGCATCATATATTTAACTCTCTTACCAACCCCAGGGAAAACTGGTGTTTCCAAGGTTGGATAATTATGCTGAAGACCTATGTCAAGCCCTATATGTTATAAGGTCATATTAATATTAAAATGCATCTTTAATGCTGAATAATCTGGTTTTAATCTACATTGGGTTTTGTGTGTGGTGTTTGATCAGGCTGAATTGAAATGCTCCTTTGAAGTCTTTCCTTTCTATATTCAAAACACGCCCATATTAACTCAGATCAGTGATCACATTGTTGTTATTATAGATGATTGGACATTTTAAAGTAAGCAAATGCAGGAGGGTGTTGAAATTCAGCCCTACCTTTCTTATGGCAATACTTTCTGTTGAGATTCTGTCTCTGTACAAATGGCTCTCCCTAGACTGCAGTTGCAAAACACTATCATTTGCTGTTTTCATAATCTCACTTCTTTCTCTTCCCTGCATTTAGATTCTTAAATCAAGGCCTAAGACAAACAGAGTATCTAGGCCACATACACAACTTTAAATTTCCGCTCCATGTCTGCTAACAGTGTGACAAGTTCATCACAGCTCTGTTCCAGTTCTATAAAAATGGTATTCAAACGTTAATAAATCCATGTGATTTTACAGTGAGTAAATAACCTACTGTCAAACGGATTTTCTAATGCAGCTTCTAATACCAAAGCTGAAGCAGGATCTGATGGCTAACAAGGGAATTTTCTCTTCTGTTATATTAAATTTAATTGACACACATTACTTGAATTCTTTCTTTAAAAGCTCAGATAATATAAAAGTATTCTTACTGGTGCTGCCTCTTTCTTACCTTTCACCATGAAGATTCACACATTTCCATCTTGATCAGTATTATTGTTTAATTGTGTTTTTCTGGCTACCATTAACAAGGCTGTCCCAAAATATTTGCTGCCCGAAGCCATGCTGGCTAGAGGATTCTGGTAGCCGTATTGCTAAAAAGTAGGCACTAGTCAGTGCTTAAGAATAAGGGCTGGTACGTTTTGTGGCAATGTGGCAGTGGGTCTGCTCTGGATTTTAGCGGTGTCATATGCTCCAGGTAGCAATTGTCCTAGGAATAAGGAGTTGGAAATAAAACAGCTGTTGAGTAGTTAATTCAGGCACGTTCTACACTGTCATATAAAGCAGGTAATCCACATTATCTACTTTGAATTGAATTATATGAGTATACACTGCCATATAATCCAGTTCAAAGCTGATAATCTGGATTTTATATGACAGTGGGTCTCAGTCCAGGTTGTTCAACCAAGTGAAAGGCAAAACATGAATGTGGATGTTAGCCAGTCCAGATACAAGAAGCCAGCAAGAAGTAATTGGAGCTGTAGCAGTCCAAGGTTAAGAAAACACGAATGACAAAGAGTACTGTCATTTAACCAGATGAGACAGTTGTGAGCAACACTGATGTTGGAAAACTTCTGGGAATTGGAAAACAGATGGGGAATTTGTACACAGCTGCATTCAAACACCAGGTGCCTAATTAATCAGTGTCTCCTATTTAGCAGCCACTGGGATTTGGTGTCATCTCTCTGTATCTGTTCCTCATTCAGAAAAGGATGGTGGCCTATCTTAAGCATCCTCAGTCTCAACCATCTCTGGAAAGATGCCTCATCTTCCAGTTCCCTGGACTCAGAGAGAACACTAGCAGCCGACCACAGCAGAAGCACATTTGAGGACATTTGACTCCTCTGTGTCTGAATAGTTGGACTCTAGAGAGTGAGTTATGAGAAAATGTGCTATCCATGGTGCTGGACCCATTTGGTTATTGGGTTCTCTATCTTGAAGCAATTCCTTTAAAGTTTGGCTTACAATCACTACTCACTGGGTATGGAAGCTGCCAGCCACCAATGGTTCTTAGCATTCGGATGCCTGATGCAGCCAGAATTCATAGCAAGAACTCATTAGGATTAGGTGGCCAAAAGTCTCCATGTTATTGTTGCTCACTTATAGTTTGTAAGGGACATTAGAAGTATTCTGGAAAGGAATTGTATACCTTCTGCTCCACTGTCTGCAGGAAAGGATTAAAGATTTTTTAATTTATCCCCTTTGTTCCCAATAGCAACAAAATGGCACATCCCGCCCATCCGATTCACAGCCTTGATTTAAATTGTGGATTGGGGAAATTGGTTTATGTACAAAGGCTGTGAATTCTGTTGATTTTGAGTACTTAGAAGAAATTATTTAGCATAGAATCCTTTAATTCTAAGTGGATTTCATTTACCAAAACTTCTAGTTGATGGGTCTCAGTGTTGAAGTAAAAAAAAAAAACCACCCAAAGTCAATCTTGCCAGTCTGATGTTTGCCCACATTTTGTGATGAAGCATAAAGATGTTATGTTGGTATTTCTATGAAAAACCCTAAAACACGTAGTTCATAGTTATAGCAAATGAATGTAAAATAATATTGTTCTCCCTAGAAAGCAGTTTGAGTTGTATAGCTATTTGCTTTGAACTGTTTGGATATATGGCAGTGTGAACTCAGATATTCCAGTTCAAAGCAGATATTTGTGGGTTGTTCTTATATTCTGGGTTATATGGTTGTGTGGAAGGGCCCTAAGGCAAAACTGTTATGGGATGTAAAATGGAATAACAGCCCCATAATTATGTAGTATGTGCTGTAATTCTGGTGGCTCCAGGTATTTAAAGCCATTCTATTGCTGATTACTTCATGTTTCAAAACAGAGTAATGGAGTCACATGGACAGTTGGTGATCATAATAATTATTATAGTAATATAATGACCTACATTCTATTGGCACTCCCAAACTGATTACAGTAGAATTTATTTATATTATTTATATTTATTTATGTATTGAACTTCTACTCCGCCCTTCTGCCAGGGTGGAATCCAAGGCAGATAACAATTATTCAATGGGCCTATTCCAATGGTTCCCAACCTTGTTTTTCACCAGGGACCACTTTGACCAGGGACCACTCTCCAACATTAATACCAAAGGAGTTACGAATCAGGTTTGGGTCAACTTCAGATTCGATTTGGTTATTTGTGGGTGCTGATTCAGAAAATTGCATTGGAGAGACCACATCAGCTCTAATTTCTGATACAGAACATATGCCATCCAGTAGTCACCATCTGCTCGCCCACAGAAAATCATATTTAATAATCGAGAGCTGCGGACCTTATTTTAGGTCTCGCGGCACACAGGTTGAGAACCACTGGTCTACTATTTTGTGTGTGTGTGTCAGGAGCGACTTGAGAAACTGCAAGTCACTTCTGGTGTGAGAGAATTAGCTGTCTATAAGGACATTGCCCAGGGGACACCAGGATGTTTTGATGTTTTACTATCCTTGTGGGAGGCTTCTCTCATGTCCCAGCATGGGGAGCTGAAGCTGACAGAGAGAGCTCATCTGTACTCTCCCTGGATTCAAATCTCTGACCTGTCAGTCTTCAGTCCTGCCGGCACAAGAGTTTAACTCATTGTGCCACCAGGGGCTCCTTCTGGTCTACTCTGGTAGAAACCAATAGAATCCTAACCAATATGCGTGCTTTTGCTTTTACCTGTTGTATCCCATCTTAATCTATCTGTACCTTCATTGCATAATTACCAATATTTTCATGCAGCAGTTTCTAGCACGCGCACACACACAAAGAAAGAGTGTTGTATCAAGATCTTCTAACACTTCAGGGATGACAACTGGGATGTTTGTGGCCAACATCAGAGTGTGGTCAAGATGGCAAAAACTAGGAGAGGCTACAGCAGTTTGTTTTGGCCTGAACCTACTGGGAAGGGCACGATTTTGCCCCTTCTTTTCTTCCCTTTGCTAACTTTTGCACTTTGAACTCAGGGTACATCTAAACTATAAAATTAAATCCAGTCTGACTCCACTTTAACTTCCATGGCTTTGTTTACTAAGGCAGTAGCAGGTCACTCAAGGTCACTGCCCACCAAACCCTTCCAGTATTTTCTGTTGGCCAGGAGAGTTCTGTGTGCCAAGTTTTGTTCAGTTCCATTGTTGGTGGATTTCAGAATGCTCTTTGATTGTAGGCTAACTATATATCCCAGCAACTACAACTCCCAAATAACAAACTCAATCCCACCATCCCCACCAGTATTCAAATTTGGGCATATCAGGTATTTGTGCCAAATTTGGTCCAGCAAATGAAAATACATCCTGCATATCAGATACTTACATTATGATTCATAACACTAGCAAAATTACAGTTTTGAAGTAACAATGAAAATAATTTTATGGCTGGGAGTCGTGGTATTAAGGGGTCGTGGTATTAGGAAGGTTGAGAAACACTGCTCTAAGGCATTGAATAATTGTCTATATGTAAGCTGCCTTGAGTCCTCTTCGGGGCTGAGAAAGGCGGAGTATAAATGGGATAAATAAATAATAATAAATAAATAAACATCTGCTTTGAACTGGATTATATGGGTCTACATTGCCATATAATCCATTCCAAAGCAGACAATCTGGATTTTATATGGCAGTGTAGATGGGGCTCAAGTCTACACTGACCCCAAAGTGTAGTTTCAAACTACAATTTTACACTGTGAAAACTGAAACCCCTGAAATCTGCAGAGGAGTTTCGAGGCCCTTATTCTCAGTGGGAAAACTAGGCCAAATTTCCAACAACCTCATTTTCCAGCAATAAAAATCTATAGTGCTTTGGTTGAGAAATGATATCATCCTTGAGAGCTTCCTCAAATTAATCTTAACATATTTGCATTGGGTGAAGTTTTGATGAATGAGTCGATAGCACGGTCTAATTCTTTCAGCAGTTTTTTTTAATACTGGCAATGCATCATAGATCTGCCTGGGTTCCCCTTGGCAGAATTAAGCATGTAGTAGGAGTGAGCAGCTGATATTTCTTTTATATAAATAGAACCAGCAGATCAGCATTACTTAGGGTTAAAATTACCTTCAAGTTTACAGGCTGGAGGAATTAGGACAACCCTTTACGTAGACTATAAACATACACCTTTTGCGGCTGAAAACAAGCGTGATATACCCCTCGCAAGAAAGGGAAAAAAAGACATGGGAGAAACTGTGACCCGGGCTGCAGCTGCCAAGTTGTTGAAGAAAGCTTTCTTGGAGGCCCTGCAATCAAATGACTATAAAACTCTAGAGGAGCTTTTGAATGAAAAACAAATAGATGTGGACACGGTATTTGAAGTGGAAGATGAAAACCTGCTCTTGGCCTCCTACAAACAAGGTAATAAACAACACCAGCAGCATATCAGCTTTTTGTACCAAATTGGCTGTTTGTAGCCTACTTGCATTTATGCTCTGGAAGTATCTTATAATGTAATTTACTGGATCGGAATCAGATTAACCAGAATGTTTGGTACAGTTGCTATTATGGGTTGAGTTCAGATTAGCATTCAGGACGAAACCTGGATAAATTAGAACTGCCACCCAAAACATTTAAAGGGGTGGTGTATCACTCCCATGGATTGCACAAGGCAGGTTTTGCAGCAATATATTGTCTGAGAATTCTGGGAGTTGTAGTCCAAACTTTTCTTAACTCTAGCAAAGATAATGGAGAAGATTGACATTAAGTGTATCAATTTGTGTTGAACAATGGCAACATCAAAATATGCTGAAAGTTTAACCCCAAGTGGGGATCACTTGTTTTCTGCTAAAGCTGTCTTTGCAATATAGGTCAAATCAGAAGTTGAGCAGAATTCATGTGGGGCTTGTCAACTATCCAAACAAGCAACCTTCTTATGAACTTGCCATGTCCTTGCTTCAGTTCCCCACACAAGCCATCTCACACCTTTGCCCAGAGAAACCCCTAGTGGTGCAATGAATTAAACCCTTGTGCTGGCAGGACTGAAGACTGACAGGTCAGAGGTTCAAATCCAGGGGGAGCGCGGATGAGTTCCCTCTGTCAGCTCCAGCTCTCCATGCTGGGACATGAGAGAAGCCTCCCACAAGGATGGTAAAACATCAAAACATCCAGACATCCCCTGGGCAGCGTCCTTGCAGACGGCCAATTCTATCACACCAGAAGCAACTTGCAGTTTATCAAGTCACTCCTGACATGGAAAACCCCCCAACAAAAACCAGAAAACCTTTGCCCAGGATGTGGCCCATGCTCTCAGCTGCATAGTATTATTCTTCTTGTCACATTTAAAAGGAACTAAATTGTGGCTAGAGGTGAAGGTGATGTGATTATGTAGCATAGGCCATAGTGCCCAAATTGTGGTCTAAATGCAGAGCTTGGGCACATACTGTTTTGACAGCAGCTGCGTGAAGCCGTCTGTCACCATGACAGCACGTTGCGGCTCTCCCACATTGAAGTCATAGCACGGGATAATGGAAAGCATGCAGTGATGTCTGTATTTGAGTCAACAGTGTGATGCAGCAGCTCAAAAAGCCAATGCGATTCTAGGCTGCATCAAAGGAGCATGGTGTCTAGATTGTGAAAAGAACACAGCTTTGTATTTTTAATTGAGTATTTCCTGGTTTCTGGATTACAGTGAAATATGCTGATTTGAGGTTGAGTGTCTCTCATCTGAATTGCTTCAGACCAGAAGTGTTTTGGGTTTTAAATTCCTCCCCCCTCCCTGATTTTGGAATGCCTGTATTTGCATATGCAATACATATATAATTGATAACTTTAAAACAGGATCCCTGTATAAACACGAAATGCATTTCTTTTTCATATGCATGTTAGGAGAGCCAGTGTGGTGTGATGGCTTAAATTCAAACACTGCAGATCAGGGTTAGAATTCCTGCTCAATGAAGACAAGTTACCCTCTCTCAGGGACCTTCCACACAGCCTTATATCCCAGAATATCAAGGCAGAAAATCCTACAATATCTGCTTTGACCTGGGTTATCTGAGTCCACAGTCAGATAATGTGGGATTTTCTGCTTTGATATTCTGGAATATAGGGCTGTGTGGAAGGGCCCCCAGATCACCCAGTTCAAAGCAGCTATTGTGGGATTTTCTGCCTTGATATTCTGAGATATAGGGCTGTGTGAAAGGGCCCCTTGAATACCCCTTGGAGTAGAGAAAGGCGAGGTATAAATAGGGTATATACTGTAAATAAATAAACCACCAAAAAGCAAAGATATCATTATTTCATTCACCCACATGGCCATGTTTTGGATTTGGGAATATTTCAGATTTCCAGGCTATACTTTCATTTGATTTTAGTCTGAGGGCCCTTCAACCCAGCCATATAACTCAGAATATCAAAGCATAAAATCCCACATTATCTGCTTTGAACTGGGTTATCTGAGTCCACACTCCCAGTTCAAAGCAGACAATGTGGGATTTTATTCAGCTGTGTGGAAGCAGCCTGACTGTCCTTAAACGTTACTAAATTTGGATTCAATCCTATTAAATTCAGTGATTTAATGATATTTCACATTCCCAGACCATATAGATGGATATTTGTACTCCGTGATTGGTGCTCTCTGATCAGCAGCCATTCTTTGGAAGTTCCCTTTCCTCCCTCTCCTCTCCTCTCCCTCTCCCTCTCATTGTTGTTGTTGTTGTTGTTGTTGTTGTTGTTGTTGTTATAGCACACTTTGTCTTTCTAAAAAGAGATCAAAAGCAGCTAACAACACTAACATTCTTCTTTTTTAAATCAGGATATTGGCTGCCCAGTTATAAAATGCAACACTCATGGGCAACTGGACTCCATTTATCTGTTCTGTATGGGCATCTGGAAAGCTTGAGGGTCCTGTTGAAGCACAATGCAACCATCAACTGTAGACCAAATGGGAAAGCGCCAATCCATATCGCTTGTGAAGTCACCAATCTGGATTGTGTCAAGATACTTTGCAGTCATGGAGCAAAAACAAATTGCTACTCATTGAGTGGACTTTCTCCCTTGCATTATTGTACAACAAAGCTATCCCTGCCTTGTGCACAGCAGTTAATCTGGAAAGGTATGTGCGATTACTAACACTCTGTATTGTATCATCTCATGGTACATAGGGGCTAAGTACTGTACATGGGTATTCTTCTTTTAGGGTGGGAGGCTGCATATGGCAAATAATATTTCAGGGTGGGTTTGGTTTTATGAATTGGAAGGAAGGTGAGATGGGTTTAAAAACCAGTCTTTATGTTCTGGCAATATTTTCCATTAATTTGGTTGTGTACCTCTCAGAGATGTACACTATTAAACTTGGGAGAATGATAAATTAAGGGTGCCGTTTTTATTTCCCGTGAAGCTAATAAAGCTGACAGCAGGAGTAAGATTACTATTCTGATGAGCCATATAAAAATGGTAGTTCTCCAAAATGTAGTTTAAGCTAATATGACATATTCCAAGTGACCTACTTTCAGGATGAAAAATGCCTTACAGTATTCATTCTAAAGCGATTTGTGACCAACCTTGAAAGGACAGATTTAAAAACTCGATTGTTCTGGTATAAAGCTGTAATTTAAAGAAATTGTTTAAATGATGTCAGTTAGGGGTATTTAAACACATTTTAGACCATTATTTCTGGAGTTTTATTTGACAAACTAAATTTGTTAATTTTCCAGGGTCTGGAGATCAACAGGCTGGGAAAAGGTGTGTGTGTGTGTGTCTGTGTATGTGTCAAAATGGGGAATGGGTTTATTTTTCATGCAGTATGCCATTCTTCCTAGCATTATGTCCTCAGTGGAACAACATGGGCAACTTATGCCTAAGTTTTGCATATGCTCCAACAGATGTGAGGCCAAGCACTATCTGAGTGTGGTGAAGACGGCTCCATCTACACTGCCATATAATGCAGTTTGAAACTGCACTATATGGCCGTGTAGATGGGGCTGTTTTGCCAACCTAGCAGTTTGAAAACATGCAAATGGGAGAAGATCAATAGGTACCCAATAGGTACTTGGCAGGAAAGTAATGCCACTCCATGCAGTCATGCCAGCCACATTACCTTAGAGGCGTCTACGGACAATGCTGGCTCTTCGGTTTAGAAATGGAGATGAGCACCAATCCCCAGAGTTGGACACAACTAGACTTAATGTCAGGGGAAACCTTACCTTTACTAGATGGGGCCGATGACAGCAGTTATTACTGAAGAAGAACACACAAAAACGAGGAGAGGCTATAGCGGTTTGCTTTCACCTGAGCCTACAGGGAAGAGCAAGATTGCACCATCTCATGTCTTCTTCCCTTTGTTAGTTAACTAAATGAAAATGCTTTTGTAGTATGAAACTTAATCTGGCACAATTTGAAATATTTATTTATTTATTTATTTACAGTATTTATATTCCGCCCTTCTCACCCTGCAGGGGACTCAGGGTGAATTACAATGTACATATACAGGCAAACATTCAATGCCTTAGACACACAACACATTTAGACAGACAGTCAGAGGCTATTTAATATTCCAACTTTTTCTGGACACCAGGGGAGCTGTGGCTTCACCGTTCATCTGGGACACTGATGAAGTACTTCCACATTCCCCGCATACTCTCTGATCTTTATGGCCTCATAAATTAGTTAAATTAGCCTCCCCACAAAGTGGTACCTAAATTTCCTACTTGACAGATGCAACTGTCTTTCGAGCTGCAAAGGTTGACAACAAGCTACACAAATTTGGTAGGAAGCTCACTCCAACCCGGGTTGGCTTCGAACTCATGACCTTTCAGTCAGCAGTGATCTTAATGCAGCTGACACTCAGCCAGCTGCGCCAAAGTCCCGGTGCTGAGATGAAGCTAAGATGAAGAAACAGAAACTGGAAAGCTTTTAAAGGAGGTGAACAAGTGAGATTGAAGGAGAATTACTTAGGATTACCTGCCAGTTGAAGGGTATGATGGTCAGTATTATACTATGTAACACAATTTTTGTTCTTAGATTATGAATGTCATTTTCTAATTGGTTCTATCATAAAACATGGGAAAAGTTTAATAAAATGTAAACACTTTGTGTTTGCGAGACATCTTGCAGCACACTTTGCTATAGTTTTTCATTGAGTATCTCACTGAGTCTCAACCAATTCAGCATAGTTTGTGGCCGCCACAAAAATGAAGTATAACAACTACTTTCCAAGTAAGTAAGTACCACATCATTTAACAGGAATAACAGTTTCAAATCAGGAACAGATTTTTTTTCCAAATTTTGCAACATAGTGTTATAAGGACATGGCTTGCAATGCAGTGGTTCCCAAAATGGAGTGCAGTAATATAAAATGTGAAAAGTAGGTGAAAGGTATTAATCAAAAGAGGAAGTCCAAAGGATCAAAATTACATTAGTATAAGTGTTGACTTTCTACATAAATATTGATTGGATGGAATGACTCTCACTGGGACTGACAATTGACAACATTTGTGCAAGTTCTGTCTAATAAGGGAGGTTTTGCACCCTATGGGAAAAAACAGTCCAAGATTATTCTTTGTCTGTAGAGCAGTGGTTCCCAACCTTTTTTTAAAACCAGGGAGCACTTTGACCACTCCCCAATCTTAGTCCCAAAAGGGTTATGAATCAGTTTATGGTCAACTTTAGATTTTGTTTGGTTATTTGGGGTGCTGATTCAGAAAGTTGCATTGGATAGACCACATCAGCTCTAGTTTCTGATATAGAACATATGCCATCCAGTAGTTGTCATCTGCTCGCCCACAGAAAACCATATTTAATAAGCCTCGGCACTGTAAGAGGGTTTCACAAGACCAGTCGCTCTCATTGCTACGGTGTAGTAACGGTGAGACAACAGACCATAATTTAGTTCTTGTGGGCCACTGGTGATTCACAGACCATAGGCTGTAGAGGCAATCCTAAAAAGTAGAAGGAGAGTTAGATTAAAAAGAGTAGGGAGATACATAAAATCATTCAAACACCCTACCCCAAACTTGAACATTGTGAGTAATCACCAAACCCTGTATTTAGAACAATTGCACAAAGGAAGTAAATAAGATGTTAGAAAACCAAAGCTATTTGTAGGTTTGATGTGATAATAGATATTACTTGAACAATTTTAGTTCATGTCAACTTTCAAGGATAGGTCCATGAAAACTGCATTGCCATGATCCAAAAGCCAGTTGTGTGCCAGAATTGCACAAGTTGACTATAGCTTCCATAATCCTTCATCGCTGGTCATACCAGCTTTTAGAACTTTATCTCATAAATTGAGTTTGAGAACAACTTGGTTATTAGAACTGTAAGATGCATGATTTTGAAAACCTTTAGTCTTATAAAGTAATCTTTCAGGCTGCATAGCTAGTAATGAGACAGCTTAGCTTTTGACCATAATTAATATTCAGATAGGAATCAATGTCAAGCACTGGGATTTATCATAGGGTTGCTGTGAGTTTTCCGTGCTGCATGGCCATGCTTCAGAAGCATTCTGTCTTGACATTTCACCCACATCTATGACAGGATCCTCAGAGGTTGTGAGGTCTGTTGGAAACTAGGCAAATTAGATATATATATATATATATCTGTGGAATGTCCAGGGAGGGAGAAAGAACTCTTGTCTGCCTGAGGCAAGTGTGAATGTTGCAACTGGGATTTATCATTTTTTTCTGTGGTACTGATACATACTGTCCACTAGATGGTGATATTGCCTCAACCAAAATACAAACCAGTATTTTCATAAAAAGCAGATTTCAGTGCAAGTCAATATAGATCCTCTACAAGACAATGCCCAATTCATGATGTATATATGATAGCGATTAAGTGTGCAGCAAAACTTGTACAGATAAGAAATATACAGTCTTGGAGTCCAACTCAGATTTCATTATGCTCTGTTGTCCATCAGTTACTCCTTCATAAACAACAAATTTATATTAATATTGGGTTGTTGTAGGTTTTTTTGGGCTATGTGGCCATGTTCTAGAGGCATTCTCTCCTGATATTTCTCCTGCATCTATGGCAGACATCCTCACCTCTGAGGATGCTTGCCATAGATGCAGGCGAAACGTCAGGAGAGAATGCCTCTAGAACATGGCCACATAGCCCAAAAAAACCTACCACAACCCAGTGATCCCAGCCATGAAAGCCTTCAACAATATATTAATATTATTGTAGTAAAATGGTAGCACAAGGTTTTTCTCACCACCATGCTGTTTACGCTGAAAGAACATGCCAGTCAGATAGGGTTTTATACATATCTTTTAAATTGTATTAAATTTTAATTTAGATTCTAACCTAATGCAAACATTGTTTTAATGTGGATGGATGATTGTAAGGTGGGATTCTATACTGGCCACTGACCATAAATAACGATTTGATTTGATAGAACATAAAATATATTTGATTAAGACATAAGAGCAAGAAAATGTCTCTAAATTGCTATGAAAGCAAATTTGTTATGAACTAAGCATTCACTCATATATTATTTTGGAGCTGTGGTTGGGACATTTCTATCAGCTTCCGCTCCTGACTCTGCCATCCCAGTTCTAACTCCAGAGAGTTGGCGACTCTTGGAGCAGATTTCAAAGGAGCATGTGTGTATGTATATTTGGTTCAAGGTTTGAAAACTGGGGTGGGGGGGGGGGGGAGAAAGAGGAGGAGTGATTGTTTCCATAACATTCAATTTGGCTGAATGATTATTTTCTTTCCAGGTGCTGATGTAAACATCAGAACAAATAATCAAGATGAAGAGACTCCCCTCCACACAGTTGCTCGTTGTGGCATCCCAGAAATGGTGGCATTTTACGTGGAGAACGGGGCTCTGGTTGATTGTGTCAATGCGCACCGAGAAACCCCCCTTGCTGTTGCCGCATACTGGGCCCTTAACGGCCGGGAGCAGACCTATAGCACGGATCACCACTTGATCTGCAGGATGCTGCTTGACTATAATGCTGATGTCAATTCACGGGATGAGGATTTCCGGACTCCCATCCACAAAGCCGCCTGGAACTGCGACCATGTATTATTGGACATGTTGCTAGAGGCAGGCGCTGAAGCCAACCTCATGGATGACAATGGATGTGGTCCCTTGCAGTACGTCCTGAAAGTGACTGGGGTGCGACCGAGCGCCCAGCCTCATCTTTGCTTCCAGCTGCTCTTAAATCATGGAGCTGCCAGGATATATCCTCCTCAATTCCATAAGGTGAAAAAATACAATATGCATGTGCATTTATTTAATGGGAAATGGCATGAGAAGATTAGAATTCTGATTCTCTGAACAGATGGAAACACCTGTCCCACTTGAATTCAGCTAATTGATTTCAGAAAATCCAACCTGGCGGATGCTCTTTGGTTTGCAAAATGTTCTTGCAAGTCATCCTATGAGATCTGCCATCTGGGTCTCATAGAGCTGGGTCATAGGTCAGTAGTTTTTGTTTCTAGATCTGATTGCATGCTAATTTGCATGTTAAACTGAATGTTGGCAGTGGGGAGAACCGTACCTTCTAGTGGTTGGTCGGCAAAGGAATGCCTTTTTCATCTTTAGCATCTTCACCTGAGATCAGTCATTCCATATGGGATAAATATGGTAGTTTAAGGGACATAACATATGATGAGTAGGTGGGAACTAGTTCAATAACAACAGCAAACCACTTTTTAATATTAATAGTAAAATTAATATAATATAATAAGGAAAGGTAAAGATTTTCCCTTGACATTAGGTCTAGTCGTGTCCAACTCTGAGAGTTGGTGCTCATCTCCATTTCTAAGCTGAAGACCCAGCATTATCTGTAGATACCTCCAAGGTCATGTGGCCAGCATGACTGTATGGAGTGGTATTGCCTTCCCGTCAAAGCAGTATCTATTGATCTACTCACATTTGAATGTTTCCGAACTGCTAGGTGGGCAGAAGTTGGGGTTAATAGTGGGACCTCACCCCACTCCCCGGATTTGAACTGACAACTTTTTGGTCAGCAAGTTCAACAGCCCAGCAGTTTAACCCACTGCGCATTATATTAGGGGCTCCTAATATAATGTAATAAAATACAATATACCATAATATAATTATATCAGGATGCACATATTCAAAAAACTCCACATAAGGTGCCTTAAGTTCTTATTGCAGTATTGCCATCCTGAACTTCTCTACAAAAACACAGTTTGATAAGATTTTTAGCAAGAGGTTATTTTTGTTCTGCAAAAGAATTTCATAGTGTCATGTTTTTCAGATGCAGAAGTGCCTTGCCAAACCAGATATTCCATTTTCACTTCTTAAAAACACTGTTCTGTGAAACATGCAGAATGGTTTCATTGTCAAATTTCACATATAGAACAGGGATCATTGTGAAAATATTAAAATAAGCTGGGGCCAAATAAAATGGATATGTTCAGAATTAGATTGTTTGGCCAAAGTGAGTATTTCAATTTAATTTTCCCAACATGGGAGCCAAGGTAGCCTCCCCCATCTGAAAAGCACACTACAACTTAAATTGGTTTATTTATTTATTTATTTACAGCATTTTTATTTTGCTCTTTTCAGCCCAAAGGTGACTCAGGTCGGTGTACAGATTGGCAACCATTAGATGCCATAAACATACATACATACATACATACATACATACATACATACATACATACATATCAATTAAAAACAATTAATATCACATAATAAAAATCCATATAAAAACCAATTAAATCTATAATAATTAATGTCTACTAGTTTGGCTCCTTATCATTTGCATAATAGAAACGTTTAAGTAATTTCAAAGAGAAAATGTTTTTAGTGAACATGTATAATCCCGGTGGATGATATATGGTTCTATTAGCAGGTTTTGCAAGCTTGCTGTGCTTATCCAAGAGCAGTTGAGGTGATCGTGAATTCATATGAGCACATCAAGGCTACAACAAAATGGAGAGCAGCTATACCTGAGGATGTCTTTCAGGTAAACATCTAATGTTATTGTCTATGACTGATGGCAAATCTGATTATAACATTTCATGAGTGTGCTTTCAAGTTGCCTGTTGCATTATAGTAACCCCATGAACTTCATAGGGTTTTCTAAGGCAAGGAATACGCCAAGGCGGTTTGCCTGTTCCTTCCTTTGAAATATAGGCTAAACCTTTTGGAAAACCAGAATCTCCATAACCTTTTGGAGAAAAATGTCATTCACAACCATTTGAAAATCATAACCTTTTGTAAAAGTATGATCTTCCAGAGAAGAGCCAAAAAAAGGACCTCATTTGCGTAAAATCTTCTCTTCAGTGGTATAGAACCACATGTACTTATGCATGGCAATTTGGTTTTGAGTTGTTAGACTGATAACTAGTTGTCTCTGACCTGTTATGAACAGAGATTATGCCAATGCACAAAATATAGTAGTTCTTCAGAAGTGTTCTTACAGTGCCCCAAAATATCTACTCTCATAAAACATTTTGTTTCTATATCATGCTCTCAAGAGACAAAAAAATAAAGCAGACTTTGTTAAAAGTAACAGATCTGGTTTACTCACAACCTTCATGTATTCAGCATACAGGTATATAAATTGATTACAGATAAGTTTGAAGTAGTTTTTCTGTGCAGATAACACAAGGCATCTTTGTTTTGCTCTTATCAATCTGAGAGTCTAATGGCAACAGAGGTGTGAGCAATCTCAGATCTGATTATGTGGTCTGCAGCCTCTCCCACAACCTCAAGAAACATAGAGTAAAGGGAAAGAAAGCTGCATACCACAACATGCATATACAATATAGTAAGCATCAGGATTATATACAAAACAAATTACATGGGGAGTCTTGGAGAAGGTTGCTATTTCCAACAAAACCAGCTGGTCTTCATTGAGGGTCTTCCATTCAAGTATTAACTGATCTGACCCTGATTAGCTTCCACGGTCAGACAAGATCTGGTACTTTTAGTTCTTATAAGGTTTTTATTAATATTGAATAGGAGATGGATGATCCTTTTAACAACCAACCTCACAGAGCAGAAAACTAATTTCTTGGGTATAAAAAAATGCATGTAGGTAGATCAATGATGTGGCCACTCAAATTATCTCCTAAAGTTTGTAGTTGGGAGTCCACAGCTAAGCATGTAATCACAATCTGTGCTTTATAAATGAAAATGATCTGGAAATTTAAAATGATTGCCTTCTGCAATCTCATTTACAGTTTCAATGAAGTTAAGCTAGGCTTGTGGGAAAATATTGTAGCAGGGCATCCATAAGATGATAACATGGCTTCTTTTACACACACGAGAGAGACATTAACCATAAAGTATACTTTCATTTTCTTTTTGCAGATGCACAAGGATTTCTATGAATCCCTTTTTGAAGCATGTGCAAACACCCCACGGTCACTCAAGCATTTAGCCAGGTGTGCTATTCGAATGAGATTCTTCCGCAGATACCGCAAAGTGAGCCCTTCCTTTTACATTCCAGTGACTCTAAATAATTATTTGCTTTTACAACCGGAAGGAATAATATACTAAACTTCATTGAAGATATTTGCCAGCCACCTATGTTTATAAAACTGGGATGTATTTACGTAGAAGAAGGAAAATGTTTTCAAAGACATCTTCACCTGAAATTTAATCTTTTGGACTAAATGTACAACCAAGGGCCCAATTGGGTCATAAAAAGGGCTTGGATCTACTACACACTAAATGTAGACCTATTTCATAATACATTACCTCCCCTGTTTATGATTTGAACCAAGACATGGAACTCAACCCTTCCACCTCCTTTCAAAAATATTTAGTTACTAAATTACATATACCCATTCTTGTAAAGTCCAGGTTTCTTTAACAATTGATCCCAGAAAATAAATATAATGAAAGACGAATGTGATTAAAGCCCACGATGTTCTTTGAATAACCTTTGGGATGCAATATGGTAGTAACATACTTATATTTGAGGATTTATGTGTAGCTCAAAACCTACTACTCATCCAGACAAGAAAAGTCAACATAGTTGGAGAAACCCCAAAATGTGTACAGTTGACCATCCACAAAGTGTAACTGCCAGATTATCTCATGTGAGCTGAAGAAGTTTGTAGTTCTGCTTTGTGGAGAGAGATATGGATTAGATTAGTGATTATAGCAAGTAAATAGAGTTGCTGGCTCAGCTTCATCTTAGGTGTTATGCCTTAAGTGCCAACCAGTTTCGCACAGCTTATCATTCAAATACAAACACACTATATTTTCCTGTTTGGAAACTAAGATTTAGCAAAAGGGGTTCCGAGGTCAAGGTGAAATGAAAGGATTATTCCTTCTTACTTAGGAAATAGGATGAGGAACATTTGATCTAGTCTATTTGCTTCTAGCGAGAAGGTGAATGGAGGACAGAGTGGAAGGTGAACCCTGATGCCACAATGCCTGGGAGGGAAGAAGGAAGCTAACCATCTGATGAGTTGCAGAAAGCAGAGGAAGGGATCGTTGTCTTAGTGTAATGTATCATCCCGTTGCATTTGAAAAGCCATTGTTTTGTTTCACAAATTTATGTTTTCGACCCTTATTCTGTTCTTTTCTGCAAATACATGAGCACATACAGTCCCCACCGATTCCGCATTCTTTTTTGAAAAAATCAGGGAAAACTTTGAAATTGCAGAAGTCTGAGACCTTATACTATTGGAAAGATGGGATTTCCAAAAATTACTGCTGAGGGAGAAAATACAGGGATAGCAAAGTGGTGATATCTTACAATTGTGCAATTTGTTTGTATAAAATTAAATATGTTAAAAAATAATTCCGGGGTCATGCAGAAGCCATTGTGAAAAGAAGTGGAGCATCAGTGCTCAGTAGGAAACCGCCCATAGAAACACCCATTCTTCCAAGTGATGTTACCATCTTTTCAAAACTGCAGTTCACACTGACTGATGGATTCTGGGAACTGTAAAAACTCACATTTCTGTTTGTATATACATATTGGAGCCCCCCGTGGTGCAGTGGGTTAAACCACTGAGCTGCTAAACTGGTTGACCGAACGATCACAGGTTCGAATCCAAGGAGTGGCATGAGCTTCTGCTGTCAGCCCCAGCTTCTGTCAACCTAGCAGTTCGAAAACATGCAAATGTGAGTAGTAGTTATAGGTACCACTTCGGTGGGAAGGTAACGGCGCTCCATGCAGTCATGCTGCCCACATGACCTTGGAGGTGTCTACGGACAACACTGTCTCTTAGAAATGGAGATGAGCACTAACCCCCAGAGTCGGACATGACTGGACTTAATGTCAGGAGAAAACCTTTACCTTTATATACATATTATAGAAAACTAGAGTACCTCATAACTCACAATGATGCAATAAATAAAGTGAATGTTTCACTATCTGGTTATTGAACTTGCCAGGAAAACAATGCACTGTGGTTTCAGCAAATCCATAATGGCTAAAGCAGTCCTAAAGGAAGAAATTTCCGGAAAATTGTCCACTGCCAAGATGAAACTTACCATAAGTGAAAAATATAGAGCATATTTTACATGTAAATGTTTGCTTTTATTCTTTAATGCTGACAAAGAATTCACTGGGAAGAGGGAGGCCTTGAAAAGAACAATAAAGCTCTTTGGATCTGTCACTATAGCAAAGGTTTCCATGCTGAGAAAAGAAGAAAAAACCATGTCACTGCTATTCAATGCCCTCCCATTTTTGTAGCCACACTCCTCCTTTTAAAAAAAGAAAATCTATGGGCATCAGGCCTCCCTTGAAAGTTTTGTTCTAAACAGGTGCTAGATTATACCCATTGTAGTATCTGACAGGGAGCCCAGCGGGTTCACGCTGATTATAGTGGTAAGAATTTGCAAGCTGTTCAAGACACTGGAGAACATCAATATCTGAGTAAAACTGGCTTGAGCCTTCTTTTACTGCAGTTTCACGTTTGGTTTGAAAGGCCAATTGGAAATATACGCCCTGGGTCTGCTGTAGTTCGTCTTGCTTCAGATTATTGTCCTTGTGTTCTCTTGAGTTGCCAGTTCACCCAATTTGACAAGAGCTTGGATATATCAAAATGTCAGTGAGGAGATATGACAATTTCCTTAAGTATTTCCAAACTATAGATCTCTCTTGTGCAAAACTATCTATAGGAGCATTTGCAGCCGTCTGCCTTTTTCACATAAAGATTGTAATTTATTGTCATGGCAGGAAAACCTAACTGCTTCTTTAAAACCTACATTACTACCTAAGGTCAAGTTTTCAATATTGTGCAAACACCTTTGCCTGAAGAAAAACCTTATTCAGTTTGAAAGCTTGCGGGGATGTTTGAACAAATTAAATTGTTCCAATGTAATGTAAGGTACTTATCTACACTGTATTTCTTTTAATGTGAAGGGAACACCAGGTACATTCAGGTGCGCACTAAACCAGGCATGGGCAAACTTTAGCCCTCCAGGTGTTTTGGACTTCAACTCCCACAATTCCTAACAGCCTACTGGCAAATACATCTTTTTCATTGTTATCTCATCCAGAGTTTTGTCATTTTATGTGTACATTTGGCCAGCCCATTGTGTTTGTTTTTTACTGTATTTTGCACTGTTCTGTTTTGTTCTTATGTTTCACTTATTTTATTGCCTTATTTTATTGCTTTGTTATTTGGGCTGTTTTGTATTTATTTTATTGTAATTGTATTATTGGTCTTAGCCTCATGTAAGCGGCCCAGAGTCCCCTTTGGGGATATGGTGGCAGGGTATAAATAAAGATTATGATGATGATGATGATGATGATGATGATGATGATGATGATGATGATGCTTGCATTAAACTGTAGTTTATCATGACCATTTCTCAGAATCTGCAGACCATTTTACCTCTGTGAATTTGATGGTCCACACAGCCCAAAACTTCTCCAATTTTTTCCTGTTTCCAGGAGTTTCTGAGGGATCACAATGCACCATTTAATTCCTTCAAGAAATATATTTGGCTACAAAGAGCAGTTTCTAGAAATACCCAAAATTCATTTTGTTTCTTAAAATAATTTGTTGTTTTTGTTGTTGTGCATGTGAGCATTGGGGAGGGCGAGTTATGCCTGTAACAGATGTGGAATAAATTTGCAAATCACATTCCACAGGAATTTATAGAGGTTAACATTGCCATTTACAATAATAGAATCATAGAGCTGGAAGAGACCTCATGGGCCATCCAGTCCAACCCCCTGCCAAGAAGCAGGAAAATCACATTCAAAGCACCCCTGACAGATGGCCATCCAGCCTCTGTTTAAAAGCCTCCAAAGAAGGAGCCTCCACCACACTCTGAGGAAGAGTTCCATGGTTGAACAGCTTTCACAGTCAGGAAGTTCTTCCTAATGTTCAGGTGGAATACCCTTTCCTGTAGTTTGACGTCATTCTCCCAAGTCCTAGTCTCCAGGGCAGCAGAAAACAAGCTTGCTCCCTCCTCCCTATGACTTCCTCTCACATAGTTATACATGGCCATCATGTCTCCTCTTAGCCTTCTCTTCTGCAGGCTATGCACAGCTCTTTGGGGGATTAAGTTTGGAGTAGTGATGGAAATGAATGTGCAGGAGGACACTGAGAACTCCTATGGCCAGAAATACACTCTTTGCCCATCTGAGTCATGCACATTTTTAACTTGTTTGCTTCTGATGAACCAGAAGTAAGACGAGCCACAAATGATGGATTTGGGCAACAAGATATGGCCCATGTGTCAAATGCAAGAGCTGTGGGCCAAATCTGGCCCTCCACATCATTTTATGTGGCCCACAATGCTGTCAATGCCAGGGAACATAGTTACATTTATACAATCTTACAATGACAAAATGGCCCTTTGAAGGCAACCATAAAGCTGATGTTGCCCTCAGTGAAAATTAGTTTGATACCACTGAGACAAGGTGATATTAATTAAACACAGAAGAAAAAGCATTCAAACTACTGCTAATCATGGTTGTGATTGCCTCGGAGAAATGGTCAACATCATGAGGTGTTCAGGCTTATTTCTGTCATAACAAACTATGGTTTGTAGAGATGTTCAAATGCAGTCAAATGACCATATTCTCTTATGAAAGTTCAGTAGTTCAGTGTTATGATATGATACAAATTCTAGATTAAACCTTAGAAAGTTCTGCAAAAATCTGCAGCGTGTGGCGTAATGTAAAATAAACCATATGTAGTTGGTTTGATCAGTCCACACACTGTCTTGCCAGAGAAAGAAAATATGTCACACAGATTATCAATAAAGAACCAGTAGTTTACTCTTTGTAGTTCAGAACAACATATTTACAATCATGTGATCAGTTGCATCGACTCACATATTGTCCTTTTATGAGATATTTAAAATGATCTTTCTTTGTCCATGTGGAGAATCTTCCCCCAGCAGCCCATAAAGCAAAAGCACACTCCAAACTTGTCTCTCTGCTTCTCTCTGTTTCTCTGCAAGCATCTGCATAGCTCAAGCCTGAAAAATGTAACAGTATCCAAAAGTCCCAGACTCACACAGCTCCCCGGGCATAGTCCAACCAATCAGCTTTGTGTATCTTATTGACACACACACACACACTAACTGATTTCTTACATGCTCCTACAGTGCTATAGAGGAAACCAGTGTGTATCAATCTTTGGGTCATCAAAGTTTTGGATTATAACTCCCAGATTTCCTTATCAATGGATCTGTTGGATGGGGCTTCTGAGAGTCCAAATCCAAAAGGTCAAACATTGAAAACCACTGGCAACAACAAAATTATGGACCCTATAGGCATGGTTAATTCAAGTGTGTGCTCCATTTGGTGGGAACATATCAAGAAATATTTTCTAAAAGTTCTACTGAGAATTTAAAGATAAATTTTCCTCATCACAGAACAATTACAACAGCCCCTTCATACAAGGTATGAGAGGGAACGGTATTTAAGAGTAGTTTTCAGCCCCCAGCACATCTCAATTTGCTGAACATTAATTCTTGATGATGATATTATCATAATAATAACTACAAAATGGGAGACGGTTGTTATTTTGCATTAAATTATGGGTCTGAAAACAGCTCTGCCTCACCTTTTACTTTAATTTAGATGCTTTCCTAGGCAGAATTTTTGTTTGTATGTTTACAAGTGATCTGCAAATGATTTCTCTATCCTAGGTTTACCATTTAATAACAATTCAGTCAAAAGGGGGCAGCATACGATCATTTCCAAGCTTTCTTCTTATTCAGAAGGTTGAAACCTGAAAGATCCATACACATTCAGTTTACCCTGCAGAACAAAAGCAAAGATAAATTGTAGTTATTTAAATAATCCCATAACATAGCATTTTTACATCACTATTGACCATAGTTTATTATGACAGAAATAAGTCTAGTTTTCCTTATGGTTTTGAGCATTTCTCTTAAGCTGTCACAATCACAGTGGGTTCAGTGGCTTTCTTTTTTGTGTGTGACTAATGGTGACTTGTCTTGTTGTCCAAATAGTTTGTACTTTGAAATTGCACTGAATAGCAGAGGTTGATTGCATAAAAACTATTTAAAAAAATTAATAAATCTATGACCATATAGAAGACTGCCTGAGGATCTCCTCTTAGTACCCAGGCATATAATGTTGCTCAAAGCACAGGGAGGCAGAATAGCTG